AATGGAAACACACATAACATATCAACAATTTAATATGTTGGTCCTTAATTTTTCGGCTCGCGATTGTTGATTGGTGGCTTTCGACGAGGTTTGCCTTTGTAATCCCTTCTCATTAGGTTCATGATCTCATCCTCCGCCTCAAGAAGCGCCTTCTCGTTTTCAACAGCGTCATTTTTGTCGCCGGAGCTTGTAGGGGTATTTTGGGCATCTAAAGTGTTTTGGAGGTCAACTAGTTTATTCTTCCCTGTATAAGAACATTAAAGAATTTGACCAACTTTATATAATATGAACATAGCTTTATATTACCAATTAGTGAAGATAGCTTAGTAACTGTATGTTTGTGAGAAGAAAATTAATGAGCTTTGTACTATTGTACCTGAAAAATGTGATCTTTTTTCTTCCTGCAGCACTTGCAACATTTTTCTTCCCTCCTTAAATTTAACACCCTGTTTCATGTTTTACTTGAATAATTAGTCCAATTTATAATCAAGAAAAGTTTCTAAACAAAAGTTAGTATAATGCCATTGGCATTTTATCCTACATGTGAAAACATTTGAGGCTTACACTTACTTGAAAAAATGCACCATTTCCCATATTTTTGCTGCCCTTTGGCCAATCTTTCTTTCCTCCATCATTTCCTGCGCATAAAAATAACACAGAATGAAAAAAAAATAAAACAAAAAACAAATATGAGAGTCGAGTTTGGATGAAAATGCTTCAATTTGAAATAATTTCATGACAATAACACATTTTTATCTGTATATATTTACACCTTCACAACACTTTGCACAAGAGCACTCCAAAGCAAGCAAAATGATAAGAACACTCAAGAGTAATCTTGAACAACTTTCCCACTCCATTAATTCCAAAACCTTGAAATGCCTTCAAATTTCTCTGTTTTTATTCTGTTCTGTTCCTTTCTTTTTACACAAGTGTACATGTATATATATAGCGAAGACTAGCAAATGCAATATATGGGAACAATAGTCAAAGGTAGGCTCCCGACAACTACGTATAGTTCTTCTCAAAAAGCAATACTTTAATCTTGTCTGCATTTGCTGCATGAAATTACTAATAACGAGGCGTCTCGTCTGCTTTAAAGCTCGGATGATCGGAGGGTGATATGCGTATCAACGGCTGTTGATAATTGATATGCACCGTATGATCAATGATGAATAAATCAAAAAATCCAATCATTATAGCACGCCAAATAAAAAATACATGTAAGAAATTGATTTTTACATTATATTTTTCTTGATATTTTTTATATTGTCATTATTTTGTAAATCTCATGCAACTTAACGTTTTTTTGTTTTTCTTAAACTAGTACATTACCTCTTTGTAAAATAGGTAAATGATGTAAGAGTAAAACCCATGTCAAGAAGCCAAGTGAAAGATAAGGGAAGAAGATTTTTTATATTTATGGGAGGAATACTTTAGTCTAATCTTTTGTTACTTAGATAATTCTTCAACTATGAGATGTAACAACTTTATATCACTAAGACCCATGAACATAAAGGTCTGTTCAATTACCTNATAAGAATCAGCAAATAGAGCCAACTCAGCTTTGCTCTGTAATTAGAGGTTATTGCAGCTTTAGTTCTAATATTTTATGAATTTAAAGGAAACGTAGCCAGGATCACATTTTAAGGCATGTTTGACTGCTTGAACAAATTAATCTGACACAGATAATTAAATAAGATGATGTGATCATTTTAAAAGTAAATTTCTGGTAACTCCTGAACTTTTTGCTTGAATAAATATGGTCCATAGGAATATTGAATTTTGTTGAATGTATACACCATGTTTCTTTTTTTCTTTTGAGTTAATTGTGGTTACATTATTGAAGGAAGCAAATCACATTTGTTGCACATAAATTGGGATTTTGGTAGAAATTGTTTCATATTTGGTATAGACCAAACAACTACTTTATGTTGTCTCCAATTATCATCATTTTCAGCTAGAAAAAGAAAAATACACTACTATTAGTACCAATTGTGGGTTATTAATAATTCAGGTACAACCCAATGGCTAGACAGTTATATTTTTTCTACAAGTAAAGATATTTTTAAACTAATGTCATGCTCTATAAAATAATATAAATAAAAGTGTGACATTTTATAATATAAGTATGTATTTTTTTTAATGTATGATATGTCAATCTGCTTAACAATCATCTCATGCCAATATTTGTGAGTTTTGTATTTTTTGTGCTTTAGCCCAATATTCAACTCAAGTTTAGACTTTTCATTTTGGTTGTTGTTTTTTTCCTTTTTGTTTGTTGTTTGAACATGTGTAGCCCTGTGACTTCTTCGGCCCAATTAGGGTTTCGATTATATATAAATTGAGTATCCGGCCATAATCCCCTTTGGGATGTTTCTCTTTAAATAAATAAATAAAATATATTTGTGAGTTTAGGGATGTTTCTCTTTGTTAAAAAAAACATATTTGTGAGTTTAAATTATATACGAATGTGTGCAATCGACCAGCTAAACTCGGGGCACTACGGGTTAGAGATGTTAAATGGTCCTTGGCCCGACGGGCCGGCCCGTTTAGCCCGAAAAAAAAGAGGGTTAGGTCCTTTTATTAGTAGCCCGTTTAAATCAGGGCTTTTTAGGCCCAGACCGTTTAGCCCGAAGCCCGCTAGGGCTAGCCCGGAACCCGCTAGGGCTTGCCCGTTTAACTAGGGTTGGGCGGTGTAAATGTTTGCATCAAGTAAATAATATGCTTTTAAATTCCTTGTATATTACAATTTTGATATTCCACTTCACCTGTAAGTACGAGTTGTAATAGATTATTATGATTTTGAAATATAATTATTAACAATATTGTTATTGTACTTCATACCAAAATATTTAAGCCGATCAGAACGACTAATAATAAATACATGAAACATAGTAATAGACGGTAAATACTAAATAGCCATTGAATATAATTTTAACTAGCCGTTGTTATTTTTTTTTATATTTTTTACTCTTTTTTTTTTTTATTATTATTATTATTATTATTATTATCCATAGCTCGCATAGCCCGTTTAGCCCGAAGCCCGCTAGGGGTAGGGTTAGGTCCTTTTTTTGGTAGCCCATTTAAATTCGGGTTTTTTAGGTCCGGACCGTTTAACCCGAAGCCCGTTAGGGTTAGCCCGTTTAACATCTCTACTCCTAGTCAAACTCGTGGCCAAACACAAATTTCTAGAATAAAAAAAAATGATTAAACATTAAAAAGACGCTGTTAGAACATGGCTAGTGGATTTTTTTTTTCGAATTACTCAATTTTTATTATTTTAATCATTAAAGCTGCTGGTTTTGTTGTAAGCATGTAATTAGGACACGAAGACGTCCAATTTCCAAGTGGCAAGTGCCTTTTGGCTCTCTCTTGAGATTAGTGAGTGGTTAACACTAGGCAATAGTCGGTTCTGAATGAAATGAAATGAGATGATTGATACTTTCACACATACTAGAAATAATTACAAAATACCTAGTAATTTTTATTGTTATTTTTTTTTGTAACTAAATATATATTTAGTTAACTACCACTTTTTCCTCAAAAGATGAGCAGCTAACAGTTACTTTTGGAATGCACTAGTAAAAGGAAAAATAAACGTTTGACTTACGACTTGAGTGTCAGTTTGGTTGAAATAAAAAATTTTAATGCTTAATCTATATTTGACACATTTTGTAACATTCTGCCAAGCAAGCAGTTGGTCAAATCACGAACCCTGGTCAAAATAGATTAAAAGAGAATAATTAATAGCTGATTTATTTGGCTGTTTAGTTGCTGTAATTATATGTTTTTATTCCATGAAATGTCTATGTTTGAAAAAAAAAAAAATTATTAGAAAAATGCATTTATTATATAAAAACTTTTATTAACTTTTCAGCTATATCTATCAAAAAATTATTAACGACACAAATTTCAGAAACCACTTTCACCTGCACAATTCTTGTTTTCTTTAAATAAGTAGATTAAACTATCAATAAATCAATAAGAAATTAACCACACAATTTTTGAAAATTTTATATGCTAAAACTAATTGAATTTCAACAAGCAAAAAAACTTAATTTGTTGCGAGATTTTCATGTGTTTTGAGCTCTAAAAAAGAGGGGAGGCACGAGCCAGGCTCCGAGTACCAATGTCATGTCCATTGTATTTCTTTTTAATTATCAGAAAATACTTTGTATAATAATCTTTTAAATAATAATCCCATAATCCAAACAAAAGGGCATGACTAATTTCTTGGGATACACTCGCATGGTTGTCCATGTGTACGGACTCGGACCTTGAGGAGCTCATGGGATTCCTTCTTTACCAAATTTAAGCCTTTCTATTAAAAAAACACTAAAAAAAAAACAAGCAATGAACTTTGACCGTCAAGGATCAGAACCCATCAATAAATTTCTCCTTTTTTTTTTCCAATTTTAATTAATGAAAGAAGAAAATCCTCTCGATGTCTTGATTTACTACTATCTCACGGCTGTGCAAAAGTTGAAGTGTAATTCCACTATTAGTCAACTGACAGAGTGTCGGTGTATAAACATGTAAATGAGCTAAGTCGAACTGTTCGAGCTCAAACATTTAACAAAGATTAATGGCTCGATTCATTTATTTATATTGCTGAATTATAAAAAATTATATAAAAAGTTATTGAAATTCAAAAACTACCAATGTGGCGATTATACTCCCAACTTATAGAAACATCAAGATTATTAGTTTGTTACATTTGAAGCATCAAATTATCTCATTTTCCCTTATAGAAGCTTATAATTTTGCTTTTCCCTTTTATTTTGTTCAGCCCAAATTGTTTTCTCCGTAGACCAACTAATCTTTTCAGAGAGGCCCAAACATATTTTCTTCTTTTGGCCCAGCTCGATTTCAGTTATGCTAAGAGCCTAGCAAAACCGAGGGTCTGCAACATCCATAAATTGATGTATGGATACATGTATTAAGTATGTGAGTTACACCACACTTAGTAACAATTGGAACAACACACACTCACACTGATGTGTGCGAATGTATGTTCCGATGGTTAAAACCCTCCATAGGGCAAGAGTTAATTTCCCGTATTTATTTTTAGAAACTTGTTATTTGTTAATACATAATTTGTAGATAATTGTTGATGCCTACAAGATAACATCTAATATATCGTATTTATTTTAAGAGACATATCAATACATAGTTTGTAATTTTGTAGATAATTGTTGATGTCTATGGGGTAACGTATAATTTACGATATATATTTTAGGAAACATGTCAATACATAATTTGTGGATAATTGTTGATGCCAATTAGGTAACATCTAATTTACCTTATTTATTGAGACGTGTCAATGCATAATTTGTAGATAATTGTTGATGGCTGCCTTCCAGGAAAGAAGGTTCTGAGTCAACCTATAATAGGAATTTTGGCAGGCACCGGTAAAAAAGCCTCGTCTGCGGAAGTCTCAATTACATCGAACCAGAACACAGATAAGACCGTTTGTCAATGCCTTGATACCAAAATTGTGTCGCTATATTATGGAGAGGTACGAAAAGAGGTTAAGCCCTACATTTGAATTAGTAAAAACTAAGGGGGGTGTATTCAATTTCAACTTTTAGAGACTTTTTAAGACTTTCAGAATTCTGGTGTATTCAATCAGAACTTTTAGAGACTTCTGAAAAGTTTACATGTATTCAATTGAGACTTTTAAAGACTTTTAAAAGTCCTTAAAAGTCTCAGGGTATTCAATTAAAACTTTCTGAGAGTCTTTATAAGTCACCCTGTATTCAAAATATGAAAACTTTGTGAGACTTTTTAAATTGTGAGACTTTTAGAGACTTTTCTAACAAAATTACAAAGAGAAAGTCCCAACAAAAATCTCATC